CTTGATCCCTGGCCCTGGTTGGGGCCTGTGGGAAGCAAATAATCAGTGTTTCTCTCTCCCCCCCCCTCCCTTCCCACTCTTTTCAAAAATCACTGGAAAAATATCTTCAGGTGAGGATTAACAAAAAAACAAACAAAAGTTAAGCCCCAGATCTATAGCTAAATAACTAAAACACATCCATACAAGGGTACTTACTCACTGATTACTTCATACCTGGTTCAAATGGACAGGAGTCTGGAAGGTGGAGCATGGCAGGCAGTGTGTTTGATTCCACTTTCTCCTGAAATCTGTTACTATAAAGTCTACAAATGTATTCCTTTGTGCTCAACGACTGGAATCACAGTTCTCGGACTTAATTCGTTCTGGAGCTGTTCCAGAAGCAATTTGTTTGAAAACCAAATCATTTTTTCATCCCAGACGCCCAAGTGATTTTAACTTTTCTTTTATACAGCACATGTCTATAAGCAAACAATCCTAAAATTTATCAAACCACCCTCTGCAGCCTTAAGTGAATCACTTTCAGTACTCATTCCAGGGGTGTCTTCCAAGAGATCAGTATGCAGCATCTTCATGTCATTGCTTCCAAAATGCTGTCACTGCCTACCTACCTTTCATTTATCCAAATCAACAACCATTTTTCTCTCTCTTCAATTGCCTGTGTGGTTTCTTTCACACCCTTAGCAGCATTAGCACTCTTGAGGGCTTTTTTGTTTTAAAATTGTCCTAATCGCCAATTTCCCCAGCAACAAAAGCAAAACAAACAAAAACAAACCCACAAAAATATTCACAGCACAATTTCCCAAAATGTTATCTTTGTGTTGCAGTTTCACAGGGTTAGTGGTAAACTCTCACTTTTTTGTCATGCTGATGTATCAGCATGAAAGGGTTGTCAGGTTGAGAACCAAAGGTTTGACTGTGTTCAAGATTTTATTTTTTGGCGGGGGGGGGGGGGGGGGGGGGGGGGGAAGAAAAAAAACATCAAATGGTAAAAAAGAATGTCATCCTTTTTGCTCCTTTTTGGGGGGGGGGGGGTATTAAAAACACCCCCCCCCCCCTTTTTTTTTTTTTCTCATTTTTAATTTTCTCTGCTGTTTTTTAAATAGTTTTTCCCTTTTCCAAAAAAAAAAAAAAAATAAAAAATAACCCCCCCTTCCCCCTCCCCCCCCCCCCCCC